TGTTTTTAGGTGTTGAAGCTGTCGCGATTCACGGCGGTAAAGATCAAGAAGAGCGTTCCCGTGCAGTAGAGGCTTATCGTGAAGGGAAGAAAGACGTGTTAGTAGCTACTGATGTCGCCTCCAAAGGTTTAGATTTTCCAAATGTGCAACATGTCATAAACTATGACATGCCCGATGATGTTGAAAACTATGTACATCGTATTGGTCGTACCGGACGTTCAAACACTAAGGGATTAGCAACAACTTTTATCAATAAAACAGCTGAACAGTCGGTATTGTTAGACTTGAAGCATCTGTTAATCGAAGCTAAACAAAAGGTACCCGAATTTCTCAATGAGCTATGCCCAGAGCCAGAAAATTATTTGGATCTTGGGGATTCGCATGGTTGCAGTTATTGTGGTGGCTTAGGCCATCGCATTACTGAATGCCCGAAGTTGGAAGCCGTACAAAGCAAACAAGCTTCAAATATCGGACGGCGGGATTATTTATCAAATACAGCTGCAGATTACTAAAGTCGATCAAAATTTTACTGTTTCATATTCGCATAAATCATTGTAGTTCATAAGTTTCTCAATATGTATGTATGATTGTAAGCGTGTCTTTTTCTTATTATTATGGACTTAAATTTTACAATTTATGAGACCGTTTGTCCATCCTGTATACCAAAATACCAAAATAAAGTAATTGATAAAGCAAGAAAATTAAAAACAATTCTCAGAAATCAATTCTCTTTGTAAACAAATTAATCTCTAGAATTAAATAATAGCTTTTTTCCAATAAAAAATATACAGATGTATAGAAAGATGAAAAAAGCTCGAACAACATTTTTACCAACGCCAAGACGATATTATACATGTGTTTTATACAGTATATGTACGTATGTATGTAGGAGTATACCGGTAAATTTGTTCAATGCACAAAAGTAATACTAATGTCGCTGCTTTGATAAGCATTATAGCTCAGCTTCAGGAAATACCAAATCTGTTATCAGCAACTGCCCTCACTCAAAGTACATAAATAAGTATACTCTGCGCTCCGCTAAGAAGAGACTCGCTTCATCAGCTTATATGCGATCCATCTGCTTGGACTAAATTTGAATTAAATGTTTGAGCGAGGGAAAGAGCAACTTTAAAATGAGCAAGTTTGAGAAACTGAATATATAAGGCTTCAGAGTTTATAAACAGCTCAGTACCTCGAATTCCGCTTGAGGTAAAAGTAAATTTTGTCAATCGTTCAAAGTGCTTAAGTAAGCTAGCGAGTAAAGCGAAAATCGTGAGTGCTTTGGAGAAACCATACGTGGGAAAAGGTATACTTCGTTGTGTTTTGATTTGAACAAGTTTTAGCATATATTATCGAAGATTATTTATGTGCGCTAATTGTGCCCGGAAGAAATTTTGATTTGGTGACTTTAAGTTATTGCATACATAAGTATGTATGTACAAGTTTTAACGTACAAGTTTTATAAGCTAGCTACCTCCCAATTTAAAGAAATACATACATATGTATGTACTTAAGTATCTACATATGTACATATT